AGGCCTGTGGTGTCCCCGGGCCAAAGGGGGCGGGGGTCATAATAACCCATATGACCCACCATTGGATCCACCACTGGTCATTACTTGCAGACTGACTCATTTGACATCCATTGCAAAACAAGTCACAGTTGTATGTTTGTCACCGTGTTCCTTTATGCCCATTTTTATAGTGGGCACATCTCGACGACTGGGGGGGCAATTCTGTTGAGTGCGGGGGCATTTGCCCCCCCAGTTAACATGTTAAAATAGGCCCTGGAGTATGAGCGGCCGGCCGGCCGGCCGGCCGCCCGGCCGTGGTCACGCTTTTGCGAGGCTTATATCTCAGCAACCACTTGACCGATTTACACGCGGTAATTTTTGTAGGGTAGCTTCATTCCTTCTACCAAGTATTGGACTATTCCTGATGCATGTGGGTGACCCCTTATGCACGTGCCACGTGCAAAACGAAGAGGTGTCCGTTTTGTAATTGTTGCAATATCTCGGTAACTACTTGGCCGATTGCGCTGAACGTTGGCATGTTGGTAGGCACCCACTAGGCACTGCCTATACATGTGCCAGAGTTGGGGTGCTGCTGCACGTGCGCACGTGCAGGGGTCGTTTCCAGATCTCGGGAACGGCTCGACCGATTGCGCTCAAATTTGGTACACGGTTAGGGACCGGTTAGTAGGGTGCCGTGCACAAGTCAGTTGGGACCCATTTTGCACGTGCGCACGTGCAGGGTGCCGCTTCCAGATCTCGAGAACGGCTGGGCCGATTGTGCCCAAATTTGGCACATCGCTAGAGACCAGTTAGTAGGGTGCCGTGCACAAGTCAGTTGGAGGTACCCCCTCGCAAGTTCGCTCGTGCAAGGCCCACCCTCTCGCTCGCTCCGTTAGTCGCCCCAAAAGGCGTTATACTGGTAATATAGCCTTTGAGTAATTATCGGTTTTGTCCAAAAAAAGAATACCTACCACGCAGTCTGCTGAGGGCTGTACACAATATATGTACAAATAAACATATTTGGAATGTAGTTTAATGCATTCTGCGTGCATAAAAAGTGCTAACAAGTAACACTTATCCCCTCCCTCCCCTTGAACTGGTCCTGACGGCTGACACTGCTTATATCATGGTCAGACTTTTGTCAATTGCTGACTTGCAAGTTGCTAGGAACCTTTGCAAGTCTGGGTTTGTCCGCTAGGTTTGCTGTTTCGTTAGCTGTGGCTGCGTAGTAACTAGGTGTATGTGTTTGAGACTTGAGAGAGAGAGAGAGAGAGAGAGAGAGAGAGAGAGAGAGAGAGAGAGAGAGAGAGAGAGAGAGAGAGAGAGAGAGAGAGAGAGAGAGAGAAAGAGAGAGAGAGAGAGAGAGAGAGAGAGAGAGAGAGAGAGAGAGAGAGAGAGAGAGAGAGAGAGAGAGAGAGAGAGAGAGAGAGAGAGAGAGAGAGAGAGAGAGAGAGAGAGAGAGAGAGAGAGAGAGTTTGGAGAGCGGTACTGGGGTGTAACTCAAACAATCCGGCTCTAAGCTATACTGGTTGTTTGTAGATCTGCCAATAGGAGACAGTGGACTATTGTTTACTGACGATAAGGTCAAGCACAATAGGCCACGTACAGTGGCAAAAAACAACTGGCAGCGTGAATATGCTGATTACGAAGCACAATACATACCTATAGCATGCACCACTCACCAGCATAAACAAAGCACGAAAGGCTAGGGCAAGGGTGAGAGATCCTGTAGGTACTCGTAGCCCATAGAGTGTGACCAGGGGCTGTGGAGTTGCAGCCTTTTTAGATACGAAAGACTAGGCTGAGCTATGGTTCCGAAGTATTCTTCGTCTATGTAGATTGTAGGTATGCAATGATAGGATGGGGAATGAACCACGTCCATTAAAAACACATAATTTAAAAGATGTCGACAGTCAAGCATATGAGATACAGTAGAATCGAAGTTGATCCACCTTGGTGACACGGCGTTTTGGATTTATTTAGCGGTGGCTTTATTATCGTAGTCAGTTATGCTTCTACGGGGAAAATCCATGAACAGCTAAGTGGCTACAAGAATCGGCTGGACTAATTATTCGACGATTTATTAAGCGGTTTCTACATATAGGTACCTTTTTTTGTTTTCTTCCTTTATAGAGCTATTGGTTCGTTCCTCGAAAAAAAATGCAAGTACGGCTAACGTACTGAGCACTTTATTTGTTTTATTTTACATGGTAAGTGGGTCTTATCGTCATTAAATTTTAGTCGGGTCGGGTCTGGCTGAGTCGGTCTGTTCATATCATATTTCGTCCGAAACTACGGTCCAGGATATAGGTAAACTTTTCCGCTTGCTGTGCTTTTTCACTCATTATCTTATAAATCAATTTGTCACTAGCTGTAATAATTTTGTGAAGTTAATAAGCCAAATAGATAGGTCGAATTGACGACCTAGCACGATGTTGAAATGATGATTAAAGGATATTACAATCACATTGCTTATAGATATATCCCTTGACCTCTGTGCACGTTACTAAAAACGATTATCTGTGCAGGCTAGTGATTGAATAAAGCCCAGTTTCACTTCATCGTCCCTGCTTAATTTAATAAAAGTAAAGTATACCGTAACCGAAGCATTACCAAAATCATCAATACTAACTCCTCATCGCTCGTACCTACTTATCAGCAAATCAGTTAAATACAAACCGGAAAATCTAGTTCGACACAAATTCGCTGGTCAATGTTTGTTTGACAGCGGAATATTTATGGTCACATTTTTCTAATCAGCAAAACAAAGAGTTGTACCGCTGAATGTTGCAACGATTGACAATCGTCAAGCAGTCTTTCGGCAATTGAATTCTTACTTTTCTATTCAAAGGTATAATGACAATCCCGGCTGTCTACCTTTGCAACCTGATTGAGAGAGAGAGAGAGAGAGAGAGAGAGAGAGAGAGAGAGAGAGAGAGAGAGAGAGAGAGAGAGAGAGAGAGAGAGAGAGAGAGAGAGAGAGAGAGAGAGAGAGAGAGAGAGAAAGAGAGAGAGAGAGAGAGAGAGAGAGAGGGAGAGAGAGAGAGAGAGAGAGAGAGAGAGAGAGAGAGAGAGAGAGAGAGAGAGAGAGAGAGAGAGAGAGAGAGAGAGAGAGAGAGAGAGAGAGAGAGAGAGAGAGAGAGAGAGAGAGAGAGAGAGAGAGAGAGAGAGAGAGAGAGAGGAGAGAGAGGGAGCGGGAGGGAGGGAGCTGTTGGCAATTGGATATTTCAACATACCTGTGGCAATTATCTGCTGTTAACTGTATTTGAAGGTAAGCAGCAGTAACAAAGTACAAACGCTGTGTGTAGCTTGAAGCAAGCGAGAATTATATATTACTGACCGGGCCGACGAAATTATTTGGAAACGAGGTTTGCAAAATTGACGTAGGCCCGAGTGCGAAGCACGAGGGCCGGAGTCAAATTTTGCAAACCGAGTTTCCAAATAATTTCGTACGGCTGAGGTCAGATACGGCCTTGGAGGTCAGTAAGATTTTTCCTACATGCCGCATACCTGCTAAGTAGTTTCGACAGGTTTTGGTGATACTTTTATTAAATTGTTTTGTCCATAATTTCCTAACAGTGATTGCGCTACTGCTGAGTGCTGTGGATAAAGCTTTAAAGGAAATTTATAGAAGAAAATGCATCAAAACACCTTACTTCAAAAAGAATCGCGTCTGAAAATATCAACTCAGAATGGCACAACAACTAGATATCCAAGGAACATAATGCATGAATAATTTGCCACGACATAAGAACAAGAAGAAGGTATAATAATCCTAGTGATTAAACGTAAATTTTCCAGTGCTCTTGCAAGAATCTTTTCTTTATTTATGTAATCGTACGAGTACTTTGTTGATATAACCCTATGGCTTAACGTTCGTTAAATACATTATTATTTTCCATATTTTACATGTTTGTTTCGAGGAAAGGACTACAACTGCCAAATAAAAACGCATTAACTTAGGCCCAAGGTATCAGTGGACATATCAAACGAAGATAAGACAACAAGCGATAACGGATTTCGATTAATAGGCGCATATCTTACCATAATTTCGGCTTTGTAACCAATACAAAATATTTCAAAAACCTTGATAAGCGAGCAGATATTTACCAAAAAAGTTAGTTTTCTAATTTTACGCGGCAAATATCATGCAATAATGATGTGAATTATACATTCCCTGTCAATTATACCTCTGGACTAATGCGATAAACTGTAGTTTAGAGCCCTGGGGCCGTATTCACGTCGACTTCGTAAGTCGATTTTCTTTCGTAAGTATAATTTGGTATTCACGTCGACACTTCTTAAGTTTTTATCGACGGAGTTCACGTGATTAAAAAAATTTACTTAAGAAGTAGGTCAAACTTAAGACAATTCTTACGAAAATCATCGACGTGAATACGGCCCCTGGGCAGTAAACTCGGGCAGTAAACTTTTGTTTCCTGCCCGGCCTATCAAATAACATGGCATTTTGACACCGACAGTTTCTTGGTCATAGTTTTACTGCCCGGCTCGGGCTGTGACATACCCCGGCATGTAGGAAAAGAAATAAAAAATCGGACGGACGTTAATATCTGGAGTGCCCACGAATTTGCAATACCTACACAATACAAATTGTTTGTGAAATTTTTCTTTTCTTGACAATGCCAATACGAACCTTCATTTGTGCTTATCTATTTTTTTTTTCTTGTCGATTCGGCTTCGAAAAATCGTAGGGTAACTGAAGGAGATAAGTGTATTTCAAACACTATCACATGTTACAGACCATAAATATCCTTTGTAGACAGAAGAATGGACCCTGATAAAATTCAGTTAGATAAAATTATCGGCTCACAACCAAAGCTCTGCACAGTCGAAGACACAAACGACGGCACCAACTCATTAAATACCCACAAAAAAGCACTACCATATTAAATACAGTTCAAGTCCCAAAGTAAACCACCAAACACGAAACAACTAGAACACAAAAGCTCCATCAACACCTCCAATGACATCACTTTCTTCCAATGACGTCACGCCTCACACTACTGAGCGACAGCCTCAGCGGCGGCCGGCTGGCAGCGTGCCTCCAGCTCGGCATAACCTCCGATGTGCCCCTCCAGGTTCTCCCCCTGCAGTTTCTCACCGGTGAGAGGGTGCACACAGTAGCACCCGGATCCCAGACATTGGGTGTGGTGGAAGTCACCCTTCTCGTCACAGCTGACCGAGACTCCCACTCTGCCACCCTCCCGGTGCTCAAACTCCTGCCTCGCACAGCGGCAGGACTGCAGCGCGCTGGAGCCGATGTGCGTCGTGTACTGATCGACTTGGTTTTCGTGATCGGCGAACAGCTTGGCTCCACTCGGGTCCACGCAGAAGCAGGCGGAGCCGTGACACTGCTGGGGCATATAGCGGCCCAGCCGGTCACACTCAGGCCGGAAGAGACCGGGCCGGGACACACCCTCGATGGACTTCAACTCGTCCCAGCAGGGTTGGTCAGCTCCAAGAAGAGACTTCGCAGAAACCAGCAGCGGAACGCAGGCGAGGAGCACGAACACGGGCTTCATTGTCGGAAACTTGTTGAAACAATAGAGCGACTCTGAAGCTGGTTCGACTGGCTGTGTATGACGCACCGACCGGGCAGCCTGCCTTTTATACCCGGCCAGATAGCCGAGTGTAAACGAGCTCTGTTAGTCACAGCCTCGGGCCGATGACGTCATAGACCTCCCCGCCCGAAAAAAGTGGACTCGTCCGGCTGGATACACAAGGCCCGGCGAGGCCTTATCTGCATATCATGGCTTTGCACAGTGAGTGATGGCTGTTTAGCATGCTATTAGCGAGGGACTAGCATTCCGCTCGGGGGGGGGGGGGGTAGCCTAGCAACAACACAACAACCTTGGTGTCGAGGTTAGGCCAAAGGCTAAGGATTGATAATAAAGTGTAGGGAACTGTTTTTGGGTTTTGAATTTTGAGTGTAGAGATAGGTAAAATGCAAAGCAAAACAACTCAAATTACCTGCGTTACAAAACTTAAAAGATACAAGATTTGAGTAATTTGACTCAAAACTTAGCAGGTAATTTGGTAATTAGGCAAATATGGTAATATGTTATTGATAACTTGTACGCAGGGGAAAGTGGGGTAAGACGGGCACCTTAACTTTGGAGCCATTTTTCGGCCAGTTAGAAACATCATGGAAACGGAACACTTGGTGAAACCCTTTTGTAGACATTTGACTTCCATTTGCCAGAAGATGAGACTTAGACCTAATTCAACAAATAAACTGCAGCTATTTTAGCAAAACCTTGCAAAAAACCCGTCTTACCACACCCCATGGGGTAAGACGGTCACATGGGTAGGGCAAGATAGCTAGCTTCTTTCACCGACCAGCACAGCTCGCAACAAATATCCGAGATTAGCCGCATTGATACAGTCGCTCGTTGGTCTCAAGTGCTTCGGAAATGGCAGTATACGAGATTCGTGCAGATTGCGTATGCTCGTATATAAGCCCTAGTTCAGAAGCCATGTAGAACCGTTTTTCATATTCATTATTCGAGAATAAACTGTGCCGAAGGAATATTGCTAACATGTCTGTGAGTATCGGAATCGAACAACTTCTTATTAGAAATGTTTCTTTTTGTCCTACAGCAACAAAAATATTCTCACCATTACGGACCCATTGGATTTCATACTTGCCCGTCTTACCCCAAACTCAATGTCAGAAGTTTAGCACGATTTTTCTCTGTGGACAATTTGATGCAGACAAAGCAAATCCGCGGTAAATGGACACCGGTGGCATATGAGTGAACCACAAGTGATTGCGAGTTTTTAACTCTAAAGTGCTTCGCACAAAAGCTTGCACAATACATTATAAATGTTTTCAATGAAATGAGTGTTTTGTAGAAATCAAAACAAAAGATTATCGACTGAACACAAATTCACCAGACTTCAATGGTGGTGTGTAGTGGGAAAGGCAATTCTAGTCTTAATTTTTCTCGCTCGTAGCGCTATTGGTTTGGTCTGCAGAAGGGGTGCCTGTCTTAACTACCCCGACCGTCTTACCCCACTTTCCCCTAGATGATTGGTAGATAAGGTAGACTAGTTAGGTAACCTAAAAAAACAGTAGCACATAACTGACCTTTAAAGTTCCATCGATACTAGAAGAGCTGTCTGAAGACCGAAGAAGCTGAATCTCTTGGTGCTGACATAACCGGTATCTTCTGGTTTGAACTGGCTACGGCTGTTATCACGAGTCAGAAACCGGTCCCGAAAGCCATAACATTATAGTCAAATGTTTAAACCCATTGTATACATGTGCTCGAAGAATCTATAAAAGTTATGCTGAGTTCGTGGTTAGAAGTTAATTGCCCAATCTTCCGTAATCATGTCTAGATGTCATAACTCATAAATATGCATCATCCATAGGCGCGGGAGCCGGGGGGGGGGGGCAGTGGGGGCAGCTTGCCCCCCAACTCTGGGGCCGTGGGGGCGGTGCCCCCACAGCTTTGAGACGGAATACCACACTTTTTTTGCAAATGTTTTCTTTTTTTGTTGAAAAAGCCGAGGGGTGAAAAATAAGTGGCCTAAAACCGGTGAGAAACTATATTTGGGGGTACCCTAGGTTGATCTCTATTATGGTGTGCCCCCCCCCTGTCGGAAAGTAGTTCCCGCGCCCCTGGCATCATCTATGTTAACTATGCTAATTATACTACCCTAACTATGCCACTTAATTCTAAGTATAAGGGTTGTACCTATATGACTCAAAGTCGAATCAAAAGTCGGTTCGTACTACTACGTTAGTACATTTCACTTACCCATAACGTCACATACCTAGTTTGGCTTCATTGTAAAAGCATGGCAACATTTATACAATACAAAAAACGTTTGAACATCATATGTCAACTTAACTTTATGCTTACACCACTCACGAATATCACTTCGATTGCTCAAATATCACTTTGATAACACTTCGATCGCTGCACATTATGCGCCAATGACGTCATTTCCTGGTTGTCGGTAGACGAAAGGGCACTGTTTGCCGTCACGGTCGGTTGAACATCCGTTGGGAGTTACTGGTCGGGGATGCATGGGAAAGGTGACAAGTGCCATAGGCTACAGTCACGTGATTGCATACATGCAGGGGAAATCTTTTCTGGGGAAAAGGGGAAAACGCAAGCGATGTTCATTCAAACGCAAGCGTCAGTGTCACTATTTCGATATTGTCACACCGAAGTCTCAAAGTAAGATAAAAAATGCACTTAATTTGAAGCGCAAATGTAGGCAAGAAAAGAACAGTGTGTGTAATCATTATCAAAGAAACAACGACAGTAAAAAAGCCCGTCAACTGAGAAAAAAGAGCACCCAACTATGGTAGCCCATACACCCCCCCCCATGCATAAGCCAAGAAATCACACTTCTAGGCACTCCTGAGCCAAGCTCCCCGCGGGCTTCACACTGAGAGATAGCGAGCACTGGTAAAGGCCCGACAATCGCCCATGAAGGTCATGCCAGCAATAAAGATGGCTAGGAAAGTCTTAAGTATCTAAAAAAGTACCTATCCGTTGGTGCAGATTTTGTCAAGTTTGGTGCATTCGCCAGATAGCCTGTCGTGAAAACGGCCATTACGTATTTTCTTACGCAGTGCTCTATTTACATTGTTCTATTACAAACATTCTTTCCAACCCTACCATTTTATTTGTCGATGGCAAGCCACTAACAAGGTGGTATTGCCTGCCGATATGCTCACGTGAGGTAATGCCTATGTAGGCATACGGGAATATTATCAGGAACTTTCCCACGGCTGAGCCATATCTTCCGTAAGTGTGGGAACTAAATACCTACTAACGCTTTCACGCTGAGGTCACCGCTCAGAGTTGTAATAAACATTTCTCACATAACGACTTTAGCACTCGCATGTCGGGAAAACAAACAATAACAGACGCAGTAACACACCAGGGATGAACCCAAAACTAGGGGTTAAGTTTTATACTAGGGGTAAAGTTGTAAGCTAGGGGTAAAGTTGTAAGCTAGGGGTAAAGTTGTAAACTAGGGGTAAAGTTGGATACCAGTAACCTGAGGCACGGCGGACCTATTTATGTAGCTAAATATGGATCAGGATAACATAGCCTGTGGAATAACACAAGGAGGAAGGATGATAACACAAGGAGGACGGAATAACACAAGGATGAAGAAGTATAACACAAGCAGCAGGACAGTAACGACTCCAGACGGCAACGCTAATTGAATATCGAGGGTAACACCCCACCCAAGGGTAAACAGTAACAACCCATCCAGGGATAACGCTATCACCGATAGGATATTCCCATTCGCTTCCCACGAATAACACTCCTAAAAAGGGTAATACCCCCACCAAATGGTAGCACTCCCACTCAGGGATATCACCCTGTAACACTCAGGGGTAACACTCCCAAGGATAACACTCCTAACCGGGGTAGCATTCCCACTCAGGGGTAATACCACAACCAGGGGTAACACCGACCCTACTGGTAACACCGACCCTACTGGTAACACCAACCCTATTGGTAACACTGACCCTTCTGGTAACACCGACCCTACTGGTAACACCGACCCTACTGGTAGCACCAACCCTACTGGTAACACTGACCCTTCTGGTAACACCGACCCTACTGGTAACACCGACCCTACTGGTAGCACCAACCCTACTGGTAACACTGACCCTTCTGGTAACACCGACCCTACTGGTAACACACACCCCATTGGTAATACCGGGCGTTTCCATCTCTGCAGCTGCACCTGCACAGCAATAAACCCAGACTTTCCCCGCGCCGTGACGGGGCAACATCGTCTCACCCGGGCAGAGTGCCACGGATGCACTCAACGGGAACGATACAGGAGCGAAAGTGAGCACGGAGCACCTCGCTCCCATCCTCTGTCTCTCTCCTCACATACTCTACCTCGGCCTGGTCGTGGGTCTGCCGAAGGTATGGGAGTGTAGCGTTGGCTCTGGAGCGGAGCCGAAATGTAATGGGAGACGGTGAAGTTCGGACGGCAGGTGGCACGTTGAAAGTGAGGAGGGATTCTGTCAGTCGTAGTCAGGCTGGTGTGGGACGAGCATCGCTCGTGAGGCGTCTCGTGACTCGGCCGTGAGTTGTTGTGATTCGTCACGTAAGGCATCCGAGAACGTTTTTGAAGTGGTTGGAGTTGTCGAGAGCAATCATCGTCAGAAGAAAAACAAACAAATCTGTGGTGATTGCTGATAACGATTCGAGCCATTCGTGACTCTAATTCGTGACTCCGACTCATGATTCTGACAAGACTGCTGCGTGAACTTTGTGACTAAGTGACTCGACCCGAGCCGAACGCAAGAGGAGTCAGGATCGTCAGCTATTAGCATGAGACTCTTCTAAAAACAACGGTAAGAACTGAAATCCCGATAGGTTACCTTACCGAGAACATCACTTAGACCTTTCACGCTTTTCATTACACAAATCTCCACTTCCCAGAACCCCATAGTGATAGCAAAAGGTGTGTTTAATTAGATGACCATTAAGAATACGAGAACACACGATATTTTCCGCTGAGTTTACAC